CTGCTGTCTTGGGTAACTCTGGGTCTAAATATTTTCCTCACTTGGGCCTCAGTTTCTCTAATTGCTAATTAGGGTGGTTACACTAAGTTATGGAAGGTATTTCTAGTCCCTGAAACCCTAAGGTTTTACCCTTGGTCAACTGTGAAGGCCATGTGGGGATGAATGGAGACTACAGCAGGCTGGATGGAGGAGAGACCAGAGAAAAGACTTCCCACAGCGTAGAGTCAGCATGGAGCAGCTCAGAGGGGCTCTGGAGATTCATTCCGTGCAGAGGCTGCAGCTGAATGGAAAGAGCCTGAGGGAGTCTGCATCTTTCTCCCCCTCTCCACAGGGGCAGGAAGCAGAGCTGGAACACGGGGGCAGGGGCAGGTACAGAGGGGAGTAGGATCTTCCCCAACCCTTTCACCTGGGCCATGAGGTTGATGTCTTCTGGAGCTCTGGGGCAGCCCAAGGAGAAGTTCTGTGGCATCTCAAGAAGAGGAAGAGCTCAGAGGAGGCCAAAATGTTTTCCAGGAATGGCAGAGGTGGCCCTGGGAGTGAGGCGACCCCAGGCCCAAAGTAGCAAGAGGACAATGGGGACAATGTGAAATGAGAAGGCTGAGGACACCATACCCCTAATTTCTCACACCTTCCATCCTGCTGTCCCTCTTAAAGAGCGAATTGTTCTGTTTGTTGTTTCATTTCTGTGGTTGGAGGGGGAAGGTGTACCAGGAGTTGGCAGAGCTCCTGCTAACTCTGCAGAGGCTACAGGGAGCCCAAAGGCAGTAGGTGTTGCAGAAGCCAAAAAGTTAGTACCTCAGGGTTACGTTCCAAAGCCAGCTTCCCTCGGGCCACTGGTTGGTGAGGAATCTTCCGGACAATGCCTTTACACTTACAGCACCTCCCTCAAGGAAGGGTGGTGGTACCAGCTGCTGGAATGTGTGGAGCCCAGATTCAGAGTGGTTCCACTACTAGGGTAGCTGTCAGGTATTTTGGTCAAAGGGTTGCATTGCAGCATGAGGGGTCGAGAGTAGCTGGCAGGCAGAACTGGGGGCATTCTGTGGCCTTTGGGGACAGGAATTCATTCTGGGTATCAGAAGAGAGACATGGAGCAGATGTGGCCTGACGGAGGAGACCTGGCTCCATTTGCGATGGGTTTGGGGGCGTGGCTGACGTATTCATTCACTCACTCACTCACTCCTCAGTGGATGTTTGGAACACTTGTCATGTGCCTCACACTGCTCCAGGAGCTGAGATACAGCGAGGAACAAGACAACGTGTTGGCCCTTCACAGAGTTGACACCGAGGTGAGGGAGAAATACGGACCAAAAGTCCTTGCAGAAGAATCTCAAGGGACTTGACAATAAATGAATCCCCCACAAAACGGCACAGATCACCTCTTGACCCAGGGAGGTCAGGCTTTAGCTGTTTATTTGATTCTCAGGAGACTTGAAAGGAAATCACACGGCTCAGGTGACATGGGCTGAAGAGGCCTTTTTAAAGCAGGAAGAAGGAAGAAGCGGCAGCAGAGAGTGAGGAAGAGGGAGGACTTGGGCAGGTATGACTGCGGTCCCCAACATGGATGAGCTCGAAAATATTGCTCGAAGTGAGAGAACAGACACAAAACATCACGCACTGCGTCATGCCATTTATAGGAAATATCCAGAATAGTTAAGTCCGCAGAATCAGAAAGCAGATTGGAGTTTTCTGGGGGCCAGTGGGGAATAGGTAACGGGTGTGACTGCTTAACAGGTCTGGGTTGTAGTTTGATCATCCGGAGCAGATGCTAAAAATGTTTGGAACTACGTGCTGCTGGTTGGACAACGTTGTGAATGAACATTGCCACTACGTCTCACATTGTAAACGGTTAATTTTATCTTATGTGAATTTGCTCTTCATTTAAAAATATGTGTATGAAAAAGAGGGCGCTGTGATGAAGTTTGGGTTCTAGAGCCTGAGTGTGAATCCTGTTCCTCCACTACTAGCGACGTGAGCTCAGACAGCAGACGCTGTGGAGGGGGAAGGACACGGGCTCGCAGCAGGTCTCTCAGAGGCAGGGAGCTGTGGAGGGAGTCAGGGCCATTGTCTTTGACACTTAATGACCCTGGAATCTTTTGGCCCCCTTCCCTCAGCCCCTTTGGCGAGGCAGAAAGCGGATCTGGTATTGTTGGGGTAGTTTGCCCAGACCATTCTCCTGGGGTGTGATGTCGATGTTCTCAGGTGCCACAGGGCTGGCCAGGGAGAAGTTCTGGAGGATGGTGGTGAAGAAGAGGAACAATTCGGCCTTGGCTATGCCTTCTCCAAGACAAATGCGCTTCCCTGTGGGCACAGAAGGAAGATCACCAGTGTGGGTACAGGGCGGGTGCACATTCTTTGCCCTGCAGCACTTGTAAGCCCAGACGCTTGTATCCATTGCAACAGATTTGCATGAGATTAACCTTTAACCTGGAATTCAGGGTGGACTTTCACGTGGTTCCCAAACTCAGTGCAAATCATTGGGATGATACGCCACATTGATTTCTCTAGGAGAGAGTTTGTGGGTGTGTTTTACCTCTGCCTATGTAGGTGTGAGCATATTTCTGACTTCACATTTTTAGTGTTCTTCGTTTCTCATGCGGGGTGAATGGTGTCTATCTATGAGGGCTCTTGTGAGGTTAAAGGAAATGTGCATAAAACATCTTAGTATAGCACCTGGCTTCAATAAGAATCCTCGATATGTAGTTACTGTCTTGTGTTTGTTTCTGGGAGCATGTGTGGGGTGTGTGTTTCTGGCACTGTGTGTGTCTATCTCTGGGCTGTCTTCTTGCCTCAGCCTGAGACCCACCGGCTTAAAGACTTCCCGAAAATATCCAAATGATATATAAAATTGGGATTTGGGCCGGGCGCGGTGGCTCATGCCTGTAATCCTAGCTCTCTGGGAGGCCGAGGCGGGTGGATTGTTTGAGCTCAGGAGTTCGAAACCAGCCTGA